ATTAGCCTAAGAAAGATTAATTAGGAAGGCAAATTTGCTCTAAAAGGTGTAATTAATTCCAAAGCCAAATAGAAGAGCATTATGGATTATCTGCATCACTGCTGCCTTCAAGTAGTGTTGGATAATCAAGGACTGACTAGACAATACAGAATCATTGCAGTGTCGGTGCAGTGTAGACCAAACCCCATATGGTTCCTTCTGTAAGTGGGCTCATGACTGAAACAAAAGATTTAGATGGAGCTCATGCCTGTGACAGTGAAGTCAAGAGGAAACATCCAATCAGACATCCTGTCCTGACTATTCCAGCTCCTAAATCCTTCAGGAATCAGTCCTCCCTCCACACTGGCCTGGTCCAAGTCTGAATCAACTCTTCTCTGGACTGTTGGAACAGCTCCCCTGGGTATAGCCTCCAGACTCTGCACAACCAGCTTAGTCTCCACACAGAACCAAACTTAAGTTGTATCAAATGCACAAACACAGGAACCCCCAGCCAGTGTCAAACAGAAATTTAATCTTGCCAAGTCCCATCTCCAAACTTGCAAATGTGCCCAGAGGTGAAGAGTGAATTCTTTTAACGTGGCCCACAGGCACCTTCCCAAATTAGCCCCAGACTATCCCCCAGCTCATTTCTCTCATTGCTCTTCTATCACCGCACTCCTGGAATGACTGTCCCCAGCCCCCCTTGTTATAGGGCACACTGCTCATTCTGGAGGTCTCAGCCTAAACACATCAACACTTGGGGTTGGGGGTTTCCAAATCTGGGTTCCTGTAGCACTCTGCTAACAGCTTACCTTATTTTCCTGCCATTACTCTCTTTTTCTTGAAGGAAGAAATGAGCGCCTTACAAGGAGAACTGTATCTTTGTTTTCTCCTCTCTACCACTTTATAATTTAGGCCAAGCATGATGTCTGTCTCGTAGGAGATGATCAATAAATATTTGTTGAAAGGGGGATGCCTGAGTGGCTCAGCGGTTGAGCATCTACCTTTGGCTCAGGGCGTGATCCCGGGGTCCTGGGATCAAGTCCTGCATCGGGCTCCCTGCGTGGAGCCTGCTTCTCCCTCTGCCTGTGTCTCTGCCTCTCTCTTCGTGTGTCTCATGAATAAATAAATAAAACCTTAAAAAAATATTTGTTGAAAGGGATGGGTCAGTTAATGACTCCAACGATGATACCAACAGACTTTGCCCATGTGAAACCCAAACTTCCTCTTTTCTCCCCGGGGCAATAGTAAATTCAGTTTGAAATATCTGGGGAAAATGCCTCCGTTCTCTGCTTCCTTTTGCCCGCCTCGCTGAGGCTCAGAGACAGGTGCCTTCAGGAGGGAAGTCGAGGATAATGGCAAGTGATGCAGACTTCAGCCTGACAGCTGCTGATCTTTGCTTTAGTTGATTCCCCCCTTTGCAAACGGTTATTGGCAATTGAAACTGCAAATCTACTATCTGCTCCCCTACGTAAATTGCATTTACATTTAAATTGTGCATTCTTCCAAAGGACCGGGTTAGTAAATAACAGCAGATTAAACTTGAGGAGAGGAAATTGTGCCCACGTCAAACCTGAGACCGAAGTGGCATCTGGCTTTTACTATTTCCGTTATTTCGGTTTAATAACAGCATGTGGCATTAAGGGAAAAGAAATTGGATCTACATTTTAATGAAAAGAGGAAGCTCTCAGGGTTTAGATACCTTATCATGTTGAATACCTCCTCGATTGGCAATTAAAACTTACTTCCCTCAAGAAATGGAATAAAATATCTTTGCAGCCATGGAGGGAATAATAAACAAAAAGACAAGTGAATGCCCAGGACTTCACAGATAAAACCGAGGGAAAGGGATGCTGCAAACATCAAAACCAAGTATTTCCAGATCCTGCAGAGTGTAGGAATACTTAAACAGAATAACGCTGAGAACAGAATCATGGATATGCTGGTGGGATCTTCAAGAGAATAATTTCAGATAGAATGGTTCGCACATAATAGGAGGCTCAACCCAATCAGATCATCTGATTGAATCCTTTGTCAACCTAGCTTCCTTTAAACTGCAGAGGTCTAAGAAAATATTCTAGAAATGCCTGTTTCATCCTAATAGTCTAACTGTTTAAATGCAAGCAGTTCCACCTGCTGGCTGCTTTTTGTTGAAAGCAATTCTGGGAAATGTAAACAAAATGCTTATGCATCCTAATAACCCAAGCCTATCATTTATTTGCTTTGATTGAAACAAATGTGTCAATTTTCCAAGTCTTTGTTTGGTGAATCCAATGTTTGGGTGTTGGCAAATGTTTGCATTACATGTTTGTTTGGAAACTGATGCTCTATTCAGAAAGTCTAGAGCTATAGCCCTCGGAACCGCAGCCTGGAATCATTCAATGAGCCTCCCTGAGGATGCACACAAAGATGCTCAATCTTTTCCCAGAATCTGGGTGGTGATGAAATGGTAGAGTCTTATGGGCAGGTGTAGATGGGATGGGGCCTGTTAGGGAAGAGACTAGATACACCGACTTTGAGGACATGGCTCATGCATAATTAGAATAATGGGAAACATTTATATAGTGCTTACCAGGTGCCAAGTGTTTTATGTATATCATAAACTCATTGCCTCTGAGGAACAGCCCTATGAGGTAGGTCCCATAGTCATCCCAGGTACAGATGAGGAAAAGGAGACCCAGTGAGGTTACTAACTTACCTTACCCGATGTCCCCCAGCTGGTAAGAGATAGAGCTGGGATGTGACTCCAGGCAGGCTGGCTCCCTATCCCCTGAACCCCTCCGGGTGACTCCCTCCTATCCCTTAATTAAGACAGCGTGTTCTTCCATATTTACATCTCATCTTGTGTAATTTTTTCTCAGGTCTTGGCCTCCTTTTAAAAAGACTCAAGCTAGGGATCCCTGGGTGGCGCAGCGGTTTGGCGCCTGCCTTTGGTCCAGGGCGCGATCCTGGAGACCCGGGATCGAATCCCACGTCGGGCTCCCGGTGCATGGAGCCTGCTTCTCCCTCTGCCTATGTCTCTGCCTCTCTCTCTCTCTCGCTGTGTGACTATCATAAAGAAATAAAAATTTAAAAAAATAAAAAAAAAATAAGACTCAAGCTAATAGACTGAAGGGTCTTCTTATTCTTAGATGAGCAATTCTCTGAGGGAGGTTAGTATAGCCTCCCACTCTGCCTAGAGGTCATGGCCAAATTACCCACCTCCTACTGTAGATCTTTTGAGGATGGCCAAGACGTTTGGGTTTGATTTTTTCCCTTTACCTTCCCATTTTCCTGGCTCTGCTAGGTTCGGTAGTATCTGTTTCCCCTCACTTCTTGTGCATAATGATAACTTCTCTGCATCTCTTGACATTTTATCATGGCAGACTGCCTCTAAAGTCAACCAGTGCCTCCTCCTGTCTGAACTTAGGTTAAATTAATCATCTGGTTTTCACCTCAGTCTGTTGCTATGGGGTTTACTGATGTCACACTGTCCGTATTGTGATTACCATAATATGTAACAGGCAAAAAGGGACTAGTTGCTACTAAAACCCTTAGGTGAAACTCCCGCAGCTTTAGTAACCAATTCAACTGCGTGGACATTAGACAACCATGTAAAGGGGTAAGTGGATTAATCATCCAGTTGGATTCCATTTGAATATTTTTCTTCCATATGTGTGTTCCCTCTAGGCAATTGTCTAGTGTCACTTGAAATTGATGAGGGTTCTTTTGGAGGTTATTCTGGGGAAGGTGGTGAAACAACAGACAGCTGTTCTCGAGAACAAATGTCACAGGATCCGTCTTAGCCAGCCTCTAATGATAATAGTACTAAAAAAAAAATCTGAGGCTCATTGTCTTCTTCCTTTCTATATTAGGTTGTTTACTAGGGGCCAAGAATGGTAATTCAGCTTCCCCCACATAGAAAAGAAGGAAACTTCCATTTACTAAACCCCAACCGTGTGCCAGAACGTGATTCTGGTCCAAGCGTAGCTTTATGGAGGAAAACTGTAAAGCGACGCATTCTCCAACGACCCTGTTATACATGACAACTCACAGCTTCTTTTAGCTTGTATACAATGTTCTTTCTAATTGGACATTGATTGATCACCAATAAAGGCAAAGTCATTACTTAAAATTGGTCCAGATCCTCTTATGCTGAGCGATCGTCTTGTAGGAGTTTTCACCGCAATATTAAAAAGCCTGGAAACGTGAGAGAAGTGAGGTACAATAAATAAACTCCTAAATTACAAACCTCCGTTGAAAGATTTGACAAACGCGTCTTTTTTCAAGATTTTTGTTAAGTAGGTAGAGGGGTCCTTTTGAGAGGATAAAGGGATCAAGTGAATAAACCTGATTGAACTTGAGGCTGGTATAGGGCTAGAAAGCCAATCAAGACTTGTGTAAGCCTATATAAATCAATTTATGTGCCAGAGAATGAATAGCTTTTTTTCAAATGCCAATTCAGCAATTACGAAGTCTGCTGGCGGTTAATTAAAAACTACCATCTCGTTATGTTCTGAGTTAAATTACAAGTGTGAAAACTACTAGTGTTTGCAATAACTGAATGCTCTGGACTCTCTGTACTCTCATCAAAAGGAGGGCAGGGATAAATAACTTTTATTTAACTCACTAGAAAATCTCTCTCAGCTCTTTCATACTTAATTAACTTCTTATCTTCTCAGAGTCTGGGTCTTAGAGTTCCTAAGCAGTCATAGAAATATTTGTTCATGTGTTCATTTGGTGCGGAAGACTTTTCTCACATTAGCTGTGTAGAAAAGTTAGAAATAATTCAACCCCAGAGACACTGGGGAATGTGACACCCACCCAAAGCTTTGCATCGAGGCAACCTAAACCCAAGAAAGATTTATGGCAGGGAATGGTGATTTGGGGATTAGTGCACCTCCAAAAATGGAGAGGTGGGGTTGTAAGCACATTTGTGGACTTTTGGGAAAGTTCTTATTTGCAAGGCTACCTTAATGAATTTAATGTTTTTCTCTTTCAAAGATTCCACTGTCTGAAAGAGACCAAACCCCTATCACACCATGGTGGATGTGAAGAGTCTGAGTGATTATGAATTACAGAATGAACTTAATAAGCTTGGATTTTCACCTGGCCCAATATTACGTATGTATGCAGCAAATATTAGAGACTGGTCATTTCTCACTTATAAACTACCTGCAAAGATTTAAAATTATTTACAGTGGAAGGAACATATGCAATAAAAAAGAAAAACCATCAAAATGGAAATAGAAAAAAAAATTTTTAACACAGAAAACCATAAAGAGAAAAGAAGTGATAAATATACCTAGATGCTACACACAAATTACTAAGTATGTTGCCACAGAAAAAGGATTTTTTTTCCCCAAGGAAAACCCAGTTACTTTTGATTATATCACCCTGTTGCTTTTTTTTTCGTTCCTAGCATATGCACTGTTAACTATTTATGTCCTTACTGTTTATACTCTCAATAGATAGGATGTGCAACTTTGTCAGTCTTACTGTCAGATGTATCCAATGCCCCCCTCCTTGGCTAACCCAAGGAGGCCTCACCTTAAGTGTTTGTGGAAGGAAAGGAATACGTTGAGTAGCTGTGGGGTGGACCTGATTGTCAAAGCCATAATTAACCAACAATGTAAGGTGCAAGAATAAGGATCTGGGTGGTGAAATACGGCGGAGGCGGAGAGATGGCATTCGCGAACGGAATACCTTACTCTGTTCTCCACATTCTTCTTCAGCTTCCACCAGAAAAGTGTATGAAAAAAAGTTAGTGCAATTGTTGGTCTCGCCTCCCTGTGCATCAGCTGTGATGAATGGACCCTGCGAGCTGGACAGAGCTCAGGATGATGACGACAGTGAAGGTACCGTCAGAAGCTGTACTGTTAGCCACTGTGCGCTTATTCATACCTTGTCTGGGATGATCTATGCAGCTTGAAATGCTATGCAGGGTGACCTGTGTAATGTCTGAAAGGCCTGTTTGCCCACAAACAGCCTGGAGAACAGGCTCCTGGCCTGCAAAAGGAATCTGTGACTCCATGTCCATATTCATGTCAGTGACTCCCCTGGGCTGTGGGGGGTGGGGGGTCAATTTGCATGTCCTCTTATTAACCAGGGCCAAATCTGTGTTTGATTTCTAAAACCAGAAGTTCCTGCAGGGAATTTCCACATCTCCTTTGAGGCACCAACCTCTGCTTTACCTCTATCAATAAATTTGACAATTATTTTCTTCAGATTAAATGTTTTCAAATCCGTTCAGAAAGATGAGCCAAACTGTACCTCTCTGAACTCCTCTATGCCTCCTGCCCTCTTGGCTCCATGGGAGCTGACCACAACTGGTCTCCTCTGGGCCCCAGGGTAGTTGCAGAGCTGTGGTCTCTGGGATCCGGGAGCTTCTGGTCCAATGGCCTCTGCCCCCTATATACACCATTCTCCTGTACAAAGTGGGCTTGAAGATTCCTACAATCCATCCCAAGGCTGTTTCATTAAATAAGTTTTTATTAGGAGTCCTCTATGAGTCACAGTAAAATAACAGGAATTACCATGCATTGATAGTCACCAATGCATTTCCTGCCTAATGTGCAATATCTCATTTAACCCTCACAACACTTTTAGCTGAAGTTCAGAGAGGTCAAGTGACTGGTCCAACATCCAATAGCTAGGAAGCGGGCCCAGAATGTGTCCAGAATGTGCTATGAAGAGCAAGGTCCATTGTCTCTGTCACCACTACATGGCCAACTCCTTGCACAGTACCAGGCATGGAGCAGGAATTCAGGATATGTTTATTGAAAGAAGGTGACAAAACTGAGATTTGAAGCCAGGTCTAGTTCTCATAACTGTGCTCTTCCCATCACATGTCTTAAACTTTTCTCACAATTTCTGTGAGGATGAACACATTAACTATCTGCCTCTGACCTACAAAAAAAAAAAAAGACAAAAATGGCAATTTCATACAGTTCAAGTGAATAGTTCAACAAATAAGATAAGTGCCTAGGGCCCTTTGAAAAATCCCCCGTGGTGCCTGGTATTGGAGGGTAGTACAAGTTCTGAGAGCTTTCCCTAAGTCACACATGGCCGACCTCATTTGAAAGAGCAGCAGGGCTGGGGATGGACCCTACCGTCCCCTAAGACCAGACCCTTTCTGGTTGGGGGCTATCTTCAGAGTCCTGTCCCAGACCTGGGACTGCATGTGATCCCATGTGATCAGGGACTAGACCAGTCCTCTGATGAAATGAAGTGCCAGGTTGGAAGGTTCGAGAGAGGAAGGTTAATGTACGTACTGCTCACAGCTGCCCAGGACTGCAAGTCAAAGCTGTACAGCCAAGCTGTTGTGGTCACAGGTCGAGTCCTCCCGCTTCCCAGCACGTAGCCCTCCAGAGGGGAAGTTATACCCAGGCTGGGAGAAAATGGGCCCTTCAGTTTGTAAGCTTTGCCATTGCTTTACAGACTGTGTCCACCTGATGTTAGCTCAGTCAGGTCAGAGGTGGCAGCTCTGGTTCAGTCGCTGCCTTGTAGTGCAATTCTGCGGTGTCAGTGGATGGTGGTTAGGTCAAGTAGGAAAGGACAGCTTTCTTTGGGTCAGGTCTGAATCATCGGACATTTGAATCTGCCCAGTGGAGAAGCCTCCTAGACCCTGGTGCCATTAGAATGAAGGGATTGCCATAGAACTGATAAGGTCCTGGGGAGATTCAGTGCTGAGCATTTCACAGAAACACCTGGTCCTGGAGTGGGGTCGTGATGGGGACCGTGTGGCCACGGCCAGTTCAGACCCAAGGCTAAGCTTTAGGTTATTCAGACAATGGGTAGGTTTGATTTTTCTCATTTTCACTCATTGTTTTGGCACCAGCTGGACATAGCTTTAATGACTGAACCTCTTTTCAAGCTTCCCAAGTATTTTTGAATCGGAAAGCTCATTTAAAATCCCCTCCTAACATCTCTGCTGAATGTGCAACAGCGCATGATTGCTCCAAGTTTATCAAAATGCTTCTCCACAGGCTGAAGCCAAGGGCTGATGAGCAACCACCTCTCTTGTCCTTGGCATTTGCCTGATTTTAAAGCCTTTTAGCGCAGCTCTGGCCTTCCCTCCTCTGGGGGCTTCTTCGGACACAGAAGGAGAAAATCCTCCTGCCCTATCTTGACATTCAGAGGTGCTTGAAGCTTGCGGCTGGTGCAAAGGGGCAAGGACCAGGCTGAAAACAGCCTCCCAGAGGAGCAGCCAGCTTGGGCTCAGCGATGTATTTCTTTCAGAGCCATACCAATACAACAGTCCTCCTGTCGGGGAGCCCTCCCCGGGTCCCCAGGGGTAGGCCTCAGTACATTGCACAAAGGCCACTGCAGAGATGCCCTCACAAAATTCTTCTGCCCCGCAATGGGGAGAATTGCCCCCCAAGATTGGTGTTGACTTCCTTTTCTAGCTCTTATGTTCTCATGGCCTATTTTCCTTTTGTTTTCCATGATCCAGAGCTTAATGCCACTATCATTTTGAAAGGAAATATCATTCTCTCATCAGAAAAAAACAAGGCACTCAAAAAAGTATGTACAATTCTAATGCATGAATACTTTTACCCATAATATATTGAATATAGGAAATAGCGCTCCTCCTGTGTATTTTTTTTCCTCCTGTGTATTAAGAAAGGAACTAGCAAGTCACTACATTCTGTTCTAGGGGTAAAATCCTAGTTTAAAGCAGCTAATTTTAATGCAGGCTTCTGTTTTGTGGAGCTATTTCCACATTCTGGTCATGACCCGGAGTAACAGGGTCCTCCCAGCCAGCCCTGAAATTGCAGCTACCCCCCAGATGCCATTCCCTTCCCATTTCCCCGGCCCAGGGTCTGCATTCATAGGGAGCACTGAGCAGTGGAGAATGAACAGCAGCTCCTGTTTCCTTTGTTTTCCCCGACCCTGAGTCCTGGCTTCCACCCTCACTGCCATGTTGAAGCAAGTGGCCAAGTGTGTGAGGGTCACAGGTTTTGCCGTGAGGCCTCGCTGGCCGAGAGACCCTGTCCTTCCCCGTGCTTAGTGCTGGGGCTTTGGGGGAAGTCACTTAACAGACGTAAACTCCTACTGCAACTTAGTAGCAGTACCTACCTTACAGGGTGGCTGCCAGGTGAAAGGCCACCAAGGGAAAGCTCTAGGATGAGGCACATTAGTTCACGTCAACCCCAGGGATTTTTTTCTCAGCCTTCTGACCACTGTCCCTCTGTATTTAGAGATGCCTGGGTCTCCTTCCATGGCAACAATACTGTCCTCGCTCAGTTCCTGGTTCTGCACCTCTCACGGTTTTCACTCTGACTCTGTCTTTTGGCTCCTGTGTGAGAGCTGTCTCCAGCCCCAGCTCCTGCTCTGCATCATTTCCATTGCCTGCCCCATTCCCTTTACCTCAGGTCATCTTCCCACACAGAATCCTCCACATGGGCCCCCTCCCCTGAGGCAGAGGCCTATACATCCAGCCACCTCCTGGAAAGCTTCCTTTTCCTTGTCTTTCCTTCCTCCCCTCCTTCCTGCAGTAGCACGCAGGGTTACTTATAATGGTGAACATTTCATAGATTACCTAAGGGTGTTTATCCTTCTCCCCATAGCAGTCTCTACCTCCCAGCTCCTCACACAGAGGACCTCTAGGACCACGCTCATTTTTGCTTACCCCAAACCTGCCATTTGTGGCTTCTGTTTCCCTTGATGGTTTCACCATTTTCCCACTGCCCTGGCTCATGGCCTCACAAATAAAGAGTTGCCAATGGATTTGAATTATGATTTTTTAAAATATTTTTTTCTTTATTTATTTATGATAGTCACAGAGAGAGAGAGAGAGAGAGAGAGAGAGAGAGAGGCAGAGACACAGGCAGAGACACAGGCAGAGGGAGAAGCAGGCTCCATGCACCGGGAGCCCGACGTGGGATTCGATCCAGGGTCTCCAGGATCGCGCCCTGGGCCAAAGGCAGGCGCCAAACCACTGCGCCACCCAGGGATCCCTGAATTATGATTTTTAAAAATCTATTGCTCCTTTCTGCTATCCTAGCTTGCACCCATATCACTTTTTTTTTTTAAAGTAGGCTCCACACTGGATAACATGGAGCTTGAACTCAGGACCCTGAGATCAAAGACCTGAGCTGAGATCATGTCTCACCCTTAACCGACTGAGCCACCCAGGAGCCCCCATATAACTCTTTATTTTTTTTACTGGAATGATTGTAATATCCTCCTGACCAACCTCCACCTCTAACCTTTCCCGATTCCAGTTCAGATGTACAAGCAGAGTTTGAGTCGCATCATTCATCTGCCTGGAAACAAGGTGCAAACTTAGCACACACCACGAGGAGACTCCCTCATCATCCTAGAAATTTCTTTCCTGGTTTCCCACTTCTCTCATTTCCTTCCCTGTGTCTTTGCCTCAGTGGTTCCTTATGCCTGGAGTTCTTTTCCTCCCGCCCTCCCTCCCGCAGCCCATTTCCCTTCTGGTTAAAATCCTCTGATTATTTAAGGACCGACTCCAGGGCCATGCCTGTGCATCCCCTTCAGTAGCTGTCATAGGCTCTTGCACAGAGCAGGAGCCCAGAGCTCACCTCATCAAACCACCAAACAGCTCTAGCAACAAACTGGTTAGTTTGCCAATATGGTCTAGTATTTCAACTACTCACTGAGTTTCAAGAAATGAAAAGGAAACCCCAAGTACGCGGTCCTGTAGCAGACTGTAGCTTTGGCTTCCCATTTGAACATAATTCAAATCTGATGAAGTAATTCTGATATCTTATAAAATTTTCTAAAGGAATTTTAAAAATCTTCCAAAGGGCTCATCAGAGGAATCCTCTCCCATTCAGAAAGCCTCATTTTGGCAGAACACCCCTTTGTCTAGTTCCTGCAGACACAGAAGGGGAGAAGAAGCAACCTGAGTATTTAAAATGTATGGGGTGGGACCGATGCCCTTCAGTCTTTGCTTTACATAAACCTGAAATAAAACCACATCAATATTTTGAATTGGCAATAGAATTAAATAGAAAGTTTGTGATGGCCTGAAATGGTTTGATCTGAAGGATTTATATAAGCCATTCTGATTCTCAGAAGGGCCTCAAGACATCTGTTCAACTTTAAATTCTGAAGTAAATGTAAATAAGCATTTAAGTTCCCATGTAAAAGGTGCTAAAAGGGGTGTTTAGGAGACACTTGTCTAACACCATAGACTTTAATTACCTAAGAGCAGTGGTGTGTACCTAACTGTCCTCTGAGTACCTGGAGAGGCAGTATTTACATTTCTTTGAAACACCAAGGAACACCCGTTTCCCTCTTATCCTAGTAGGGTTTCCAGTGAAATACAGACCACTTTGAGATTTGGATTGCATCTATTTCTGGACGCTTTCTCATCCTGCTATGTGTGTCTTTTATCAGATCACATATGCAGCCCACTGCTTTGGAGATTAAGGCCACTTAGAAAGTCAAGCCAATATTTTTTTTTTAATTGGGGATTTATTTTTCATCAGATGGACTCCAGGCACAGCATGTGCTTCCAGTGATGAAGTAGGCAGGAAAGCCAATGTGTGTATCTCAAGCTCAAAGTCCCTTCTACCAAAGAGGACGAAATGGGACTTGGGGTGTTGGGGAGGCAGAATGATCTGCAATGTCAGGCTGCATAGAGTGACCTCTGAGTAAGGCAAGGGGATCATGTTATTTACACCCCCAACAGGATGTTTTTGAGAATGAAAGGGGACACTCCTGGAAGGGATGCTGGAATCCAACGGGACCGTCCGGCAAACCAGGGCATCTGGGCACCCTGGGCTATAGAGTGGTTCTGGAGTGGAGGTGTTTGCACGTGCACTCCTGTCTGCACAGGGCTGCCGGCCGGGAGCTGTGTGCTCCTGAGTGCTCCTGGCCCTTTTGGTGTCTCCTTGTTCCCTCCCAGAACACACATGCTCCTCTCTGCCAGAATCCCGGTTCACTCTGTTCTCCCAGCCTGGGCAACTCGCTCATCTCGCCACCTAGTCTACACATTCCGCTAGGAGCTCCTAAAAGTGTGTTCTGGGGGTCTGAGCCTAGCAATCTGCTCCTTCAGTCTGCCCCAACTCCCACCCTCTGCCTAAGAGCTTTTGCTGATTCAGGTTGTAAACCTTTGAGGGTGGGCAGCGGGGTGGCTCAGTGGTTTAGCGCCACCTTCAGCCCAGGACCTGATCCTGGAGACCTGGGATAGAGTCCCACATCGGGCTCCCTGCATGGAGCCTCTCTCTCTCTCTCTCTCTCTCTCTGTCTGTCTCTTATGAATAAATAAATAAAATCTCTCTAAAAAAATAAGTAAACCTTAGAGGGTGAAAACCTGCGGCTTTGAATCCTCTGCACTGAATTCAGTGCCAGGTGTATGGAGGGAGTTACAGTCATTCAATCTCTGTTGGTGGAACTGAAGGGAACCGTTGTCATATATCATGCAGATGACCCCCCCCCCCGACTTCTTATTCTGTACCATCTCTTTTGTCTCTTAGACATACCTTACCCTATTCTCCCAAAAGACAATGCATAGGGCACAGCGAATTGATGACCACCCAGGGAATGGTTGCAACAGAGCTTCTACCTCGGGTCTCAGCCTGTGAGCTCACAACTGTTTATCTCTACTGGGCATTGTTCTAGACCTTTTTTTAAGAAAATAGATGCGAAAGGAGTCCTAGTTCCTGCCCTGAAGAAATTTTAAAAGGAAGTCTGGAAACAAAGAGAATAGATGTATCAAAAATATGGACTCTAGAGCCAGGCTGCCTGGGTTCAAATCCCAGCTCTGCCACGACTTGGACAAGACACTTGACCTCTCCATGTTTTAGTTTCCTATCTACAAATCAGGATAATAATGGGCCTGACATCACAGATCATTGCGAGGATTAAGTTAAAAAACATGTAAAACGAGTAGTGATGGCATGTCATAAGGGCCGTACGAGTACAATACGAACTACTATCATCAATACTATCACGTAAAAAAGCATGATACTTAGTTATCTACAAAACAAAGCAAAAATACTTAGTGAAAAATAATACGATGGCAACTGAATCTTCAGTATTGAACTCCTAAGTACTGCAGAGGATTTATCAGAGTGCCCACAAGTGTATGTCTATAAGTAAATAAACAGATATAATTAAAGACTCTTCTCTGTAAGTGCTGTGTGTTGAAGGAGGCAGACCAGCCTTTAAAAAGAAAAAACATCATATATGACCGCCTACTATATAGGACTCCTTCTTAATCTTATGCTAAATCCTTCCCCTGCCTTTTGAAACATTGAAAAAATAATTTATTTTGAAATAACCTCAAACTTAGGGACAGTGGTAAGATTAGCATAAAGAACTCCCAGGGATCCCTGGGTGGCTCAGCGGTTAAGCACCTGCCTTCAGCCCAGGGCGTGATCCTGGAGACCCAGGACCGAATCCCACATCCGGCTCCTTGCATGGAGCCTGCTTCTCCCTCTGGTTCTCTCCCTATGTCTCTCATGAATAAATAAATAAAATCTTTAAAAAAAAATAAAGAAGTCCCATATTACTTTTCACCCAGATTATCCAGCGGTTAGCTTTTA